TATGTATCAACATCCAGTTTATTCACTCACTCACTCACTCATTCATTCATTCATTCATTCATTCATCCAATATGCTTCTGAGTGCCCCCAATGCAGGTGCTAAGGGAGCCTCTTCTCTTCCTCTCAGGCAAATTTACAGGCAAGCAAGGAAGACAGATTTAAAACTTAGTTAAATGTTTAAGAAATTTTTACAAATTTTCGTAGGTGTTATATGGAAACATACAGACACCAAAGTATGGCAGGGGAACTGTCCTGAAGATGCGCTATCCAATATGCCCACCAAGGTCACCTAACTGCCTAGGAACATGTACTTCCGTTGTGGCTTAGTACTTACTTTAGGTTTTTGTTGTTGTTGTTTGATTGTTTTGTGTTGTCTGTTTGGGGGTTTTTGTTTGCTGTTTGCTTGTTTTTTGAGCCATGATCTAGCTAGGCTGTAAAGCCCAAGCTGGCCTCAAACTCCCTATATAGACCAGATTGGTTTCACACTTCCAATCCTCCTGCCTCAGCCTCCTCTCCTGAGTGCTGGGATTACAAGTGTGAACCACTACACTTAGCACTATTTATTCTTGATTAGGTATTTTTATAAACTTATAGAAAACTGTTAGCTAACAAGTAACTGTTGCTTGATAGATATGCACATGAATTGCATTTTAGAAATGAATTCAATAGCCAAAGTTGCACTTTTACTGTCCTTTAGAGCATTAATTAGGTTCTTACTATAATCCTGAAGAATGAGGAGTCGGCCATAGGAAGCAGAAAGGAACAACAGAACTCTTGGAACCTAAGAGCTCAAAAAAGTGTGAGTATATGCTCTGCAGCAGGAACAAAATCACCCAGAAATAACTAAAATGCCATGAGGCTAAGGAACAAAAGGGAAGGCAAGAGAAATGCTGGGTGTGGTGGTGCTTGCCTTTAATCCTAGCACTTGGGAGTCAGAAACAGATGGATCTCTGTGAGTTCAAGGTCAGGCTGGTATGCAGAGCTAGCTCTAAGCCAGCTAGTGCTACATAGTGAGACAATCTCTCAAAAAAAAAAAAAGAAAAAGAAAAGAAAAGAAAAATGCGGCGAGGAGTAGAGGTCTGGGATACAGATGGAAACGTAGATAGTGTCTAAATAATGGAGGGCCTTACAGACCAGTGCAGAAATCTGAATTTTATACTATCTACAAGAAAACCACTGAAGAGTTTCAAGGAAAAGGATAATGTAACTATCGGGTCTATTTTGAAAAGATCACTCTTTCCCAAGTGGGAAATGAGGTAAGAGTTAGGGCCAGAGAACCAAAACAAAAACAAAAACCATTGTGTTACTGAAGTAAGTGACAGAATGTGGCCCGGTCCAGTAGAGAGAAAGAGATGGAAGCAACAGGTAGTTGCTTAGAGCCATAGTGCCAGAGCTTTTGATGGATTACATTAAGGAGTAAAAGAAAGGAATCCAGGATGACTTTCTGGCTTTCTAACATGAGCATCTGGGGGTGGTAGTTCCACCTGCCACAATAACAAAGACTAAGGGATAGAGAGGTAAATATCCCATATACACATGGGCACATACCATTCACAGGAAAGTGCTCTCTGAGGGTGACAAAGCAACTGTAGCCATTTAGATTAGCTTCTTTTTTGTTATAATCTTTTTATTATTTATTGTATTTCCTCTTTTTTTAAGAAGCATTTCATTACAGCTTCAACATACTCAATAAGAGTTTCCAGAGCAAAGATACATCTCTTTCAAAAGTGGCTATAAAATTTTTAGGTTCGCTGTTGAATTAATACAGTTATACAATATTGAACTCAGTATAAGCCCTGTAAGACATAAAATTGAATGAGTTTTTAACCTTAAAAAAGATCTCCATTTCCTTTTAAAATATACTGTTTTTTGCATTCCCTCTAGACTTCAATGTCTGTGTCCTCATACATTAAGTTAATAGAATGCAAACAACAAAGCAGAAAACTCTAAGTGGCAGGACAAAGTTTGTTCCAAGCTTGTCCTCATTCCTACTCAACATATGCTGACTGCAAATAACTTTTAGTTAATAAATCTTTAAATGAAGGGAGATAATTCAAGATAGACTTGCACAGGTGTTTCAAAAAAGGAACATCAGTGTTTATAAAATACCAATAAGAAAACCTTGCTATTTGTGACAAGGTGTTAATCTTTAATAGAAGTGGTAAATTTGAAAATCCTTCCAGTCCGTGGGAAATTAATCTGTAGATCTGAACACCCATTAGGTAAAAGACTTAATTCTAACTTAAAAGATGCAACAAGTGTTTCAGACGTTTACTCTGCTGTACAATGAAGCAGGTCTCACTCTTCCAGAAGATAAACCTGAAAAACACTACAATAAAGCTTCATAACCATATTTAATGGAATAAAAATTATCAATGCCTATGAGAAATCCAAATCCAATATAATATAACTCCACCATCAAAGCCAAAGTTGCCTGTAGCAATTGCTGTCTTGCAGCAACAAACACCAAACCACTTGAAGAAACAACACTCCATCAACACATCTATTTCAAAGAACCAAATTCTATATACCATGGGATGACTTGGGTACAATTTTTATCTCCTTTGGAAAATGTCTCATGATTACAGATTGTAGGAGTACAGTTAGCCTTGTACTCCTAGGAAGAAGTATTGAAAAGAGCCTATCTTGCATAGCAATTAAGAGCATGGGGCTTGGGAGACAGCTCAGTGGATAAAGTGCTTGCTAGATGGTATGAGGACCGATGTTTAGATCCCCAAAACCCATATAAAAGCCAATCAGTCATGGAGGCCACCAGTAATCCCAGAACTCAAGGAGAAACAGGGGACCTCTGCAGCAAGCTGGCTAGCAAAGGTAGCTGGAATTGATAAGCTCCAACTTCAGAGAGACCCTGCCTCAAATGCAGAAAGTAATCAAGGAAGACACCCAATGTCAACTTCAGGCCTTCACATGCATACAGGCACACACATATATTATGTATACATATATAAAATATATGTATACATATATATGTATATACGTGTATGTATTCCTGCACACACACATGCGATAAAGAGCATGGAAGCAGATCAGGGTGGTGCTAGGGAGACAAAGGCAGAAAGATTCTGAGTTCAAGGCCAGTCTGAGCTATAGAGAAAGATCTTATCTCAAAAACATAAGACAAAAGGATGTTGCTCAGTGGTACAGGCCTGCCTGCCTACCATGCGTACGTCCCCAAGTCTGATACCTCGTCCCCTAAAAAGAAATATGAGGACTGGGAATGAGGCTCCTGGTTCCAAACTCTACTAACTGGGGGGGGGGGTCCTTAGGCAAATTACTCAACCTCCCTAAACTTCAATTTCCACGTCTGTAAAATAGAGAAAACAATAGGATCATAGCAAAGATAGCTATAACCAGTTCACCTCTCCTTGCAGATATATGAAAGAATTGTGTTCCTCCAGCCCGCTCCGCAGTAAAGCAGATCCACCCATGTGACAAGATCTGGTCAGTACAGCATGAATGTCATACAAGAGAAAGAATTTAACCACTAGAGTGAAAAATAATTGCCATTTTGCAGCAACCGTGGGGACAGAAATTGTTGGAAAAGTCCCATAAAGTAAAGCATCCACGATCACAGAGTCCTGACATGGAGGGATCACACTGACCCAACTACAAAGTGGGACACAAACCTCTACCTACTTAAATTATTGAGATTGCAGTAGCATGTATCATGGCAACTTATCCTGAGTACTCTATCTAATTTAGTGAGATGATGTGAAGATTAAATGAGGCAGTACCTATCACATTAAACCCTTGATAATTTAGTATGGTGGCTGTGGTTCCCTGGTGGCTTTGTCTCCCACAGCCAACTCTGACAATTGTGTCATGTATTTGTATTATACCACAGGGCCTGTATGAACAAACTATGAATTCTAAACCCATTTAGGTATCAAGCAGAACTTTCACAGAACAGACAAAAACAATTGAGTAAAGTTTTACCTCTAAATTAAGAAAACAGAAACGGTTCCTACATAACTAGGTTTAAAAAAAAGTAATCTGTTATCACAGTGAATTATCAGAGGACTTCAATGCATTCTTTGAATAATCAACTTCATACACATTTTCAAAACTCCTACTAAGTAGTAGAAACACTACTTAGCATTAGGGGCTTTGCTTTCTGTCTAGGTTGTGGAAAGTGCTCAGGCATACAGTAGGCCAGAGATAGGGATGGCAAGATAAGAAAACGTTCTCTGAGGAAAAGGCTGGGGATGTGGCTCAGTGATAGAACCCTTACCTAATATGTGCAAAATGTTCTGGATTCAAACCCCAGCATGAGGGCCAGGCGCAGTAGCTCATGCCTTTAATCCCAGCAGTCAGGGGGGCAGAGGCTGGCAGATCTGAGCGATCAAGGCCAGCCTGGTCTACATAGTGAGTTCCAGGCCAGGGAGACCCTGTCTCCAAAAACTAAATAAATAAAACAAAACAAAAAGAACAAAAAATAACAACAAAACCCAGCATGAAAAACTACACACACACACAAAAAAAAAATCTTGAGAAGACAAATTCATTCTGGTAAAACAGAACAGTTCCTGCTTCAGGACTGGGAATTAAAAGATGAGTAGATAGGACTGGGAGAGAGAAAAAGGAGAGCTTCACTTAGCTCTTCAGTTCTTCCATCCTAATCCATAACAGAGCCCTAAACAACATTACTGGTACCTCAAGTGGAAAATTAAACTGAATGTTATTTATTTTGCCACAGGTCAGAGAATTCTTGTCCCAATCTCATCCTACTAAAGAACAAAATCTATTTTAACTGCCAGTTAAAAGGAGCTAATCCCAGGTCACTCTATCATTTTTTCCCCAATTTGAAAAAGAAACTAAACTACCTGATGAGTTTTCTTACTGTATTTTAAAGAGGAGTTAGAGGAAGCTAGGAGAAGTTCCACAGAAGTTTATACAACAGGCTTTAGACACATCAAAAAGAGTTCATAATTGAGAAACCTGTCATGGGCAACAAAACATTATCAGTACGAGATACTTACCACATTTAATACTCTCTGTCCGCACAGGGAGGCCTGACTGGGCTGCAGCAATCAATTTCAGGGCAACATAAAACTGTGTTGGACCAAAATAGCCAGCCCGCTTTGCACCACAGAGTTCTGTGATCTGAAAAAAGACAAGAAAAACTATGCTGAAAACTCCATTTCATAACAGGAAAAAATGAGACAAAGTTAGATGATGAAACCTCAAGGATTTCACAGTGTAACTAGGCAGAAAGCCCCTCAGGAACCTGTATGCACACAACAGTTGCTTTCTTTTTCCTCTGGTTTCCAGGGTTTTTTGTTTGTTTGTTTGTTTTATGGTACATGCTTTTATTTACTTATCTTTTTAAAAAAATTTTATTAGAAGAAGCATTTCATTACAGCTTTAGCATACTCAATAACAATTTCCAGAGCAAAGATACATCTCTTTCAAAAGTGGCTATAGAATTTTTAGGTTCACAGTTGACTAGTAATAATCAGATACATAAATTGCATTAAAAATGAGTTTTTCTGTATGAAACAGCATATTTTAAAATGAAATGGAGATATTTTTTAAAGGGTAAAATATCATTCAATTTAATGTCTTACAGGGTTTATACTGAGTTCAATATTGTATAACTCTATTAATCCAGGTTGGTTTTTAAATTCAGATCACTAAGTTCTTCCTATTCACAATGTTTCAGAACTTATTTTCCTCTCTGTTTTGAAGACAAAAATAAAGGTGACAAATGATGGCTGTTACTCTTAGGAAAATGAATGACTTTTTTAGGGAGTGAATTCTAATGTACAAAGTCTAGAAAGTCACTGGGGTACGAAGATAACAGGTTAGTCATTACCACTACTTAGGCATCATCCTAGCTTACCAACACTGACTGTGAATTCTTTTTATAAAGTTCTCAGGCAAGAACCGGGGACATAACTCAATGGTATCAGGCTTGCCTACAACACAAGGCCTGAGGTTCAATCCTTAGTATCACAAAAATAAAGTTCCATGGCAAAATTACTTCTTAGTCACTGAAATTACACCTCAGATAATTCTTTCAGAGGAACAAAAAAGCACTATACACACAAATACTTTCAAAACACCACAACAATTATTGGTTCCCATTCTGTTGTGTGAATTAGAACATCTTCCTCTCTACCAAGACCAAGCTCAACTGTTGTTCCTCTACAGCTCCTTCCTAATGCCTTGGGTACAATAGTTTATTTTCCCAGTGTACTCTGAAAGCATTCTATTTAAATAACTATTAATGTTCATCAAATGATCCACTGTTTGGGATTTGCTTCAAAAAAGAAGAGGAGACAGACTTGAGCATGTGGGTAGAACAGGAATAACCAAGAGTTAATAATTGCTGAAGTCAGCTGATGGGTTCATGAGTGTTCATTCTCCACATTCAAATTTCTGTACTGTCAGTTTCAGCACTTAGCACATTCAACTATAATTATCTATTCTGTTCTGATGCCCTCTAACATGAATTCTCTTTAAGGCCAGGGGCAACTTCCCTTTAGGCCCCAGCAGAAGGATAGGGACCCAAGATGTGGTCAATAAATTTTCAATCAAGTGAATGAAACTTACACTTGAAAATAAAGTGTAACTGAGTTTTATAATATATCCATTATTGTAAATATGTAAATTACACACTTTAAGGTGTAGATGAGCCTGAACATGGAAAACACTACAACAGAATCTGTGTAGCTCCAGTATCGAGGTAGTCGTCTTGCAGAATAATTTCTAAAATAAAAAAGTTGTAATCCGTCTGTGTAAATGTGTCCACTGGAGTCTAGTCAGCCCATCCAGTGGCTGTAAACATTTGCGTGCAAACACCTGAATGAATAGAACTCAACATGTATGGCAGAGTGCACAGAGTTTGGTGCGGGGATAGAGGGAGGCATGGATGGAGAAGGGGGTCTGGATTTGAGTGGGAAATGTTGGATGAAATTTTAAAACTCAATAAAAATGTGGAAAAATTGTAATCCTTGGGAGGTGAATAATTTATTATATTTCATAAAGTGAACAATTACATATCAGAAAGTGTGAATGTAGGGGGCCAGCGAGATGGCTCAGGAGGTAAGGGTGCCTGCCACAAAGCCTGACAACCTGAGTTTGATCCCAGGACCTACATTGTAGAGGGAGAGAACCAACTCCTCCAGGGTGTCCTCTGACCTTTGCACTTGCACACTGTGGCACATGCATCAATAAATCAATTAAATGTAACACATCACAATGATGGTAATATTTATTCTATCTTATAAGGTGTTGCTGCCCCCTAGTTTATACAAAGAAACTCGTTAGGCAAAAAGTTAAGTGATTACTTCAAGGTCACAAATTCAAAGCCAGTACTCAAACACACATGTGCTTAGGCCCAAAGCTCACAGTCTGTCCATCATATCATGGGCAGGAAAACTATTGCACATGGGACAAATCCAGCCCACTGCCTGGTTCTGTACAGCCCACAAGTTGGAAATGGTCTTTTCAGATGAACATCTGCAGTCAGTTTGAGGATAGAGAATACTAAGTTAGAATCTCATTAAGGAAAATGTTATTCCCAAAGCATTAATTCCATTTTTCTTCCAAGCACATGCAACTTGTCTTTTAAAAGTAGTTTGGGTATGGGGACGTAGCTTCGTTGGCAGAGTGTTTGCCTAGCATGCATGAAGAAGCCTTGGGTGAGATCCCCAGCACTATATAAAATTGTGCGGTATAATATGCCTGTGATCCCAACACTCAAGAGATCTCCGGAGGCAGGAAGGCCAGAAGTTCAAAGTCATCCTTGGCTACACAGTGACTTCAAGGCTACTTTGGCCTACATGAGACTGTGTCTCAAAACAATGTTTTAGGTAGCTGCTTTTCATATCTTGAAATTTGTCAATAAACAGCTTTTAGAGTTCACTTTCTCTCTTGTTATACAAGTACTTCTAGAATAGCCTTGATTTTGCTGCTTAGTCCATGAAGTCTAAAATACCATCTGGCCTTTTATAGAAAGGGACACCAACCCCTACATAACAACACACAGACTCAATTAGCTCTACTTTATATCCTTTCATATATCCTCAATAACCATACAGAGGGGATTTTCTTGAATTATTCAGCTACGCTAGGTGAATGCCAGCTTAATAGGGAACACTGCCATTCAAAGAAAACACATGCTTTCACTCTCTTCCTCAGCCCCTACTGCTTACTCATTCATTTCTTATACATTTGTCTAAAATTTTCAAAAGCTTTTAAACAGGGTCTTCTTATATTACTATAAAAGTTTTTCTATAGTAATCAACTGGAACAAGTGGACAGCATACTTCGAATGTGAACAAAACCTATTCAAGGGGGGCCAGGAAGATAGCTCAATGGCTAAAGTGCACAAGCGTGTACACTTGAACAAGTGTAAGGACCAGAGTTTGTATCCTTAGCACTTATATAAAAGCCATGTGAGTATACCAGCCTGCATGTAATCCTAGTTCTCTGGAGGCAGAAACAGAGGATCCCCAGGGCAAGGTGGCCAATTAGACTAGCCAAATCGGAGAGCTTCAGGCTCGGCAAGAGACCCTGCCTTAGTAAACATAGCGGGCAGTGATCAAAGAAGACACCTAAACAGAAGACACCCAAATATTAACCTCTGTTCTCCTCAAGCACACATGCACGTGCCCACACACAAGTAAATATGTACACACACAAAATATGTGCCTACACACATGTAAATATATACACAAAAAAAATCTGTGCAGTAAATCACACACTAATTTGGGCTAGGTATGGTAGTCTATGTCAGTAATTCCAGGCTGGGGAGATGGTTCAGTGGCTAAGTGCACTGGCTGTTCTTCCACAGGAACCAGGTTCAATTCCCAGCACCCACATGGTGGCTCTAACAACCTTTCCATAGCTCTAGTTCCAGCAGATCCAAATGCCCTCTTCTAGCCTCCTCAGGCATTGCACAAATATGGTACACTTACATACATGCAGGCAAAACACCCATACGCATAAAAATTAAGTAATTAATTAAAACCACAAAGTTCAAATGTCTATTGGCATGGTATAGGTAAGCCTTGCAAAGATTCCATCTGTAACTCCAGCACTTGGAAGCTGAAGCAGAAATATTTCCATGAGTTGGAGGCCAGTGTTGGCTACAGAGTAAGTTCCAGGTTATCCTGGGCTACAGAGTGAAATTCTGTCTCAATAAATAAATGAATAAGATTTTTACTTTAATTTTGTTTTGGTTTTGTTTTGCTTTGTTTTGTTGAACCTGTCTTCCTGTAGCCCCAGTTGACTTGGAACTCACTATGTAGACCAGGCTGGCCTCAATCTCAAAGAGATCTGCCTACCTCTGCCTCCCAAGTGCTGGCACTAAAGGCCTGTGCCATCACGCCTGGCCTGATTTTTATTTCTTTTTAATTTTTTAAAAAAATTTATTTTTTTTATTTTATGTGTATGCATGTATTACCTGCATGTAGGTTAAGTGCACCCGTATTGTGCAGTGCCCACAGAGATCAGAAGAGGCTGTCAGATCCTCTGGGACTGGAGTTACGGACAGTTGTTAGCTGCCATGTGGATGCTGGGATTCAAACCCAGGTCTTCTGCAAGAACAACCAGTGTTCTAAACTGCTGAGCCATCTCTCCAGACCCTGATTTTTTAAGACAAAGCTATTACATAAATCTTCAGAAACATCCTTTGAAAATGCGCTTAAGTATTTGGGAAAACATAATAATCCAAGATCTCCCAATATGTTAGTTGCTGTCAAATTGCAAATCAATTGTGGAAACTATTATTTTTAGAGCCCCTACGAACACACTTAATTTAGAGCTAAATACCTATAATAAGTTATAGGCCAATTCCAGCCCAAGTTGTACTGGCAGACGTTATGGCACAGACCTTGTCTGTCAGTATTCTTGGCTCAAGGTCCAAAGCTCATTCCAGCAGTTAGGGAAGAAAAAGTCTGCCAGCCTAGGTAGAAGGCATCTGAACAGGGAAAATGACACTGGGCAAGAAAATAAGGCACCTGTACAAGACAGGTCTAACAGCCAGACATCATTTGGCAATGCCCAGAAAAATGACAATCTACCTTTTGACCTGGCAATTCTCCTTAAAAAAAAAAAAAACTTACATTCCATGTTAGAGAAGCAAAATAAGACAT